GGCCGGATGCCCTTCCTGTCGCCAATGCAGAGTTATGTTCAGCAGATATATTCTCACTGTGCCCAAAGAGATAAATATTTGCCTCTACCTAGAATCAAACTCTCAGCCTCCTGATTGTGAGGCAAGCGCTCCACCTCTAGGCCACTGCGCCACTCCTTCCAAGGAGAAAACCATACCCCCACTAAAACTGGCAAGGCAAGCTATAAACAGGTAGCAAACCCCACGCTTACTCAAACTAATGATTCTACCTTCTTGGGTAACGAAATGTCTGCAATCAAACAACTAAGCTCAGAGCACCAAAGACTCCCCAGTTCAACTCTGAACTACATAAATTCTCTTCTCTTGTACTGAAAATATAGATAGCATGAAATTGTGCTGACTTTTCCTTTTGCATAAGTGATTGGAAGATTGAATTGTATTGAGGGGAATGCAGTAGAATTTGTCCTATTAGAATCGGTTGTAGGAAATTAAATTAAAAAATTGCCTTCTTTTTTAGGCAGTTCTCCTTTACTCTTAACTAGCCCATTTTCAGTCTTTATTGAGGTTTAATACTAGAAACTATTATTTTATTATTATACAAAAGTGATACCTGTTGAGGATATTAAAGGGAGGAGGTACAAATACTTCAAATGTACATTTTGAGAAATGTTATGATGCCTCCAATGAGAGATTTAAAATTGATCTGAGTACGGTAAAAACTAATACTGAAAATAGCTTTAGTTTATTTCAGTAGGAAGAACAATGTAAATGTCATAATGACACAATTCATAGAATCATAGACTTAGAAGAGCTCATTTAAGTCATGAAGTCTATTCTCCTGCTTTATGCAGTAGTCTTGAAGTTGAAGCATCTAGAATAAATGGCTATCCAGCCACTAATTTCTAAGATCTGTTTCCTCAACAGGATGCATTCAGTTTACTTGCATATTCTGATCCATGGAATAGTCCAGTTGGAAATCAGCTGGATCCCATTCAGAGAGAGCCTGTATGTTCAGTTCTCAACAGCGCAATACTAGGTAAGCCTGTTAAGTTTCCTTCTTTATACAAATTTGTTAAGGTACATTAAACACAGAGGAAACAGATTACTTGATTATTGAAGGAATTCTGGAATTTCTGTTACTTTTTTAGAGGTATGACTATAAAGAAATAATTCTTGTACTGTAAGCCACTAAATGTTAGTATTCCATTGGGTCTGCCATTTATTATCAAACTCATAATGTGTTATACAAATGAGCAGTTCTATCCAGAGGCTTGTTAGCAGCCAGAATAGGAGGAGAGCCATTTCACTCCCCCCACCCCATATACTCCCCTACTCTCCCCCATTCTTACTTCTTTTTCACTCCTCTGGACATAGGGAAATATGAAATATAATGGCCTTTCAGCTTAGAAACGAAGGATTGCTCGATTACACCTAAAATAATTAGTAGCATTCCATAAGCAGTCTTGACTTTCAGGTCTTGTGTCACCCAGGCTGAGCACATTTACATTACTAGTTGAGAGGATACAAATGGGCCTTCTCTTTCACCATCATCAGAACTTTCTATCAAGAGTTTATTAATATTCAGTAAATATTGGAGGCATTAACATTTTATGATTTGACATGGTCTGCATAGTGAATTAAACTACTTAGTATGGAATTAACATTCCATTCCAGTAATTTTGAAAATAAGTTATTTGAGTTGGATAGAAATATTAGTGGAAATAATTTTTTGAGAAGTAAAACAAGTTAAAATAGTGCATTGTTGAATTTTTTCAGAGACACACAATCTACCAAAGCAACCTCCTCTTGCTCTCGCAATGGGACAGGCTTCACAGTGTCTAGGTCTGATGGCCCGATCAGGAATTGGATCCTGTGCGTTTGCCACAGTGGAAGATTATCTACACTAGCTATGCATCTGAAGGTGTCCATGGTGTATAATGTGGCATATATTCAACATGAAAGTAGACCAACTCTGCCAATTGGGAGTTTGGATTTTTTTTAATTATGTACTAAGGACAGGTCTGTTGCTTTACATTGCTTCCTAGTTTACAGCATGATGCAAATGATTTTCTAAACTACTGTTAGGAGATATTTTCCATCTTTAACCAGAGTTAAATATCATCAGTAACATCAGATTGAAAAACCTTTGAATTGTTACAAACAAACCAAAAAGTTCTGCCTCCTTCTTGGAGGGCAGGGCAAAATAGATAATGTTGTGGATGTGTTAGTACGTGGGTGATGTAAACTTCAAGCAGGATAATTTGCCAACTTTCACCCTCATTACATAGATCAATCAATGTAATTTGCAAACTGCGTATGTACCTGACAGTTTGGCTGTATAGTATTGATGGGAAGAAATATTTTTAATGTGTACTGTAAAACTTGAAATACTCAGGAGCTGAGTGAATATGTTTGTTGCTACTTACAATCTCAACCTGTTTCCTAGTGGTTTTTGTTTTAACATGGTCGTTTCAGCTCTGTTTCCTGTTTAACTGCAAACAACTTATGTTGTAGACTCACCTGTTTAACTGTTGTATTATAACAGTATTACATGTCAACACAGTGTGGTTATGGCCTATTTATATAAAAACCAAATATTTAGTCAATTTCAGTCTTAATTTAATCTTTGTACACCCTGCATTTTAAAAAGTGCTTAAATGAGTACTCTATTGCAATAAAATGTAGTGATACCATAATTAATCAGCCATTAAATACTTACATATGGTAGGATTGCTACCTTATTTTTCTGCTTGTGTTGTATTTGGGATTCAAGTAGATAAAATTTAAATATTTAAATTTAAATATTTAAATACTCTGGTTTCTCCTCAGATCATATAAATTTTTCACCTTTAAAATATTATTGCTACATCAAGCGACATATCCTGGACCAAAATCATGTTATGATCTAAGGCTGATGCAACTAAGTTAACTGCCCTGAATTATTATGGTTAACTTTTGCTTTTTATAAGCATATATAGCTGATATAAAAACAAGTGTCAACAAATGCAGACAATGGATACCCAAAACATGATTTTCATAGGTCAGGCCCAATACTTATCCTATACTTTATGCAGCAGGGGGTCTACATAAAAGCTAACATTTGCTTCACATTTGACATTAAAAGGTAGCAAGTTTGGATGTTATACAAAATCTGATCTTATCCTGTAATGGGAAAGAATCCAAATGCATGCATTTGCTTCATTTTTTTTGTCTGAAGGGAATGAAAATAGCAGCGTTAATAGTTTCTCCAGGTATTAAGCTAGGAAAGCTTGATGCTTTCACCAGAATAGATCCTGCAATAATCTACCTATGCCTCTTAATGCAGTGGCAAGGAAACATTCCTGAATTATTGAGTAAATAACTTATATTGGGCAAAAACAGTCCAACTTTATAAACAACTGTTGATGCTTTTGTTTGATAAAGCCTTTTGGTGTCACTGTTCCATGCTCTTAACCATTTGCTTTTCTGACCTGACAGGTTTGTTGGCATGGCTCATGGGCAACATTAACTCCTGCTGAAAATTATGGCTTAAGGCCCCACTTGAGCAAGATTGTGTTACCTATATTATGCTCTGTTTTGTAAAGAAGGCATACCACTAGCAGTAATTTTAACAACATACTATCTCAGGTCTATTCATAGAATGAAAAGGAGTGTTAAGTCTCGTATGTCTCCAAGCAAATTTAAAAAAAAATCTAATGAAAAGTGCAATATAAGTAGCAGAGTGGAACAATCCCAAGGCTGCGATAGGCAGAATTTGCAAGGTGAAGATTTAGTCAGCCATCATTGTCAGTATTGAATAGCCCATTTTGTTACTCAGCCTACCCCTTAGTTATAGCTACAGATGTAAAGCTACAATGTTTTCAGTTTCTGCAAAGTCAATCTACCAAGTCTCCAAATTCAAAGGGATTATGTGGTGACCCTTGAATACAATAACCACTAGAGTTAAAATATATTAGCTTCCCAAGTATGTATCTTTGGTCTTTGAAAAGTAGGATAGGAAGAGTATTGATGCTTTTGAACTTTGATTCTTGGAGAAAACTCTTGAGAATACTGTGGACAGCCAAAAAACAAGCAAACAAACAAATCAACTCAGACTTCTCACTTGAGGCGCCAATTGACCAGGCTCCAGTGATCCTATTTTGGGCATAAGATAGCTCTCTGGAGAAGACTCTAATATGGGGAAGGTGGAAGAAAAAGGATGGATCCAAACACAGTGCAGTGAATACACCACTACTAAGAGATCTGAAGGATCAGATTAGAGACAGATAAAATTTATGTGGTTGTTAAGAGTCAGCAACGATTCGACATATAATCAAGCGTGTCTCTTAATTCCCTTGGAGGAATAGGGAGAACAACAGAATTTGAGTAAAAAACCAAATTAATATAATTCAGTGACGTCAAGGAATAATGCTGAGATCTTAGGGGAGCCACCTTCCATTATCTAATTCCAACCAGGATTCTGATCGAGATACATAGATCTGAACTACAAGAATTATGGGATTACCCCATCAAGAGACAAAGGACAGAAAAAAAAAGGCTTGCCCAACTACTTAACATTTTAGGAATAGAGGTCTTCTTAGATATACTGGATACCTGTTCCTGAATAGCTCCATTTTTACAGTTAGTTCTGATCAGTATAAAATTCATTTAGATGAAGATCAGCTTTCAAGTTTAACTTTTTTTATTGGAAAGGAGCCAAACATGAAATTTCTAGACAACCTGATTTCTTCTTTGGACCTGCTTTGCTACTGGTGCTGACTCCTAAAGAAATTCAGCAGTGGATTATAACTATACCGTTGTCTGCCGTAAGTATTCTCTGCTGGCTTCTTGCACTGGACCATTTGGCTATGCCTCTTATCCTAGTAAGTGAGCTAGGGATAGGCAGTTAATGAATTAGGTATTCCTGCTGATGCACATCTTGCTTGTGGTTCCCATAGGCAGCTAGGCAACAGGTAGGGGAACAAGCTACTTGTTGGAATGTTTACTAAAATTCCATGGGAATAATTTTCAGACAAACGAGATTCAGTGTTTTATGTTTTATTTAATATTTCCCATATTTGCAAACCTATATATATAAATTATTTCAAGATATATCTTCTTTTTACAGCTGGAATGTACTTCCAAAAAACATGTAATGAATAAGTCAATTTACAGATGTGTGACAGCATTTTAGCAACAAGAGTATCAAAATATTTAAGAAACTGATTTCTCATTCAATCAAAACTTAATTCAACTGAATTCAAAAGACCCAGATAAAATTACTTTTAGTTGGAACATACCATTGCAAGACCCTAATTATTTTCCAGAGAATTACTTTTTAATTCTCTGTAAAGATTTAAAAGAAAACATAAATCATAAAAATGTTAACACTCTATAAAACAATAGCAAGGACATTATACAACTCAAATACAAGATATTTGCAATGATATTGTACATAAACAGCAAAATATTTCAGGGAATTAATTTTGAAGATACCCAATGTTTTGTAAACCGAGTAGCTTTTTCTTTTTTTACTTTACCTAGGGAACAAGAAAACAGACAATTAGTTGAAAAAAGAAGTCAAGAATGCTAAAGTTGTTGCTGTAGGTTCCATAAAAGCTCAGATTTGCCACTGCTTGAGTATTCCCATTTAAGAAAACATCTTCCATTCACTCTCAACAGAATCTATATAAAAACCACTAAAACTATAAGTCTACGGCATATTCAGTATTCGTGAACAATTTGGTTAGGTTTGCCATTATGGAGCCTGCTCATTTTATAGTAATCAAACAGAAAGGAAAAAAAGTCTTCCATCTCTGGAATTTGAGATCATTTTCTGTACCTTTCTGTAATGTCGTGAATTTGGTGGCCCAGTGAGACAAAGTACCTTGCCTCTTGTATTCCTCACCTGGTATCAAAGCTCATATTTACGTGACGAATCAGACATCCACTAATATAAGAACTCACTCACCAATTTTATAGGAATAAATGCAAAAATGTCTATTGTTCCTGGGAAGCCTTTACAGGATTTGCAAACTAAAAAGTTTTTCATTCATGTTTTCTACACAAACACAAATAGCCTTATATAAAAATTACAATTCTCAAAAATACTGAAGCAGTTTGACATCTGGTCTTCTGCGTTTTTCCCCCTTTCACTTTACGTGGTAACCTACAATCCTGGAATCTCCTGATGGTTTTGCATCCGACTGTTACCAGGTCTGACCCCGTTTGCTTTTTTTAAATGAACTAAAAATGAACTAAAATTGACTACATGCGCTGTCATGTGTGACTGTTCAAGACCACAGGTGCTTTGAATGGTAAGACATCTTGAATATGCTTAGTAGTAAACAACTCTTACCTTAAATTACATGGACACCCAATTTCACACTCACACTTCATAATCATATCCCAAGGGTATAAATGTCTCTCATGTTACAAACATCTTGTGCTTTTGCTATATTTGACCCTATTTATATTTTTCATATGTGAGATCATGTAGGAAATTACCATTTTGACGGAAGGTCCTTCAAAATAACTACAGCAATTGCTTTGGACCAGATTTTTCACTTTTAGTACATGTTCCTCAGTTAAAAGAAAAAGGGGCACACAATGTGAAATCTAAACTTAAAACAATGAAGTCAATAAAGGCACAATCACCACAAAAGCTCTTTTAAATTGTTGCTATAAGACAAAGGAATATCATCTTACCCCAAGATTTATTCACAAACTGGATTGCAGCTTTTTTAACTGCATTTTTCTTGTTTTCAACAGAAAAATATTGATTTGCTGGAATAACAAGAGAGATTTAACTGAATTGTAATTGTCATATGATCAATGTATTTTCTAAGTTCATTATACAAAGCTCCTTTACCAGTAGTTCGATTGCCGCTTGCTCCATAAAGATGGTTCTGTATAAAGTCTTTGGCATCCTGTTGCTGTCGATTGGTTAGCTCCTGGTCTTCTAACCGTACAGCCATGTAATTTGGAGGGCATCTAATGATAAAGAAACAGTGAACATATTTACTGCCTTGGTTTTCGACTTCATTTTACAGAAGCAAAACCACATTCCCTGTATTTTTGCCACATTGACTAAATAAAACAATAACATGCAAACAAGATAACTCTTAGTTGCAGCGTGAACTACGACTGAACTCAAGCTTATCAACAGTTTTACTGTTTCAAATATTTAGCTTACATAAAGTGGTGCCACTTACAGAGTTTGCCCTTCATCTGCAACTGGTACCTCAGGTTTAAATTATTGCAAAAATCTGCTCAAAACAAAATGAATGTGCAATAGCAAACCTCATGTGCTTGTTATAACCACATTTAAGAATTACTCCACATCACTGCAAAGCCCCATCATCCATAATATATAGGCTTCTTCACCATGCACCAACATCAATTCTACAGCTACAGCTATAACTACAGGCTTTTGAAGATAAAACAAAGTATTTCTAAAAGTTACTATAAGAGTGTCTTCCATTTTACCTAACTGTGGCCTCTCTTCTTAAAGTACCATATTTTTCAGACTATAAAACACACCTAGATTTAGAGGAGGAAAACAAGGGTCCCGTTTTCACCCTCCCCGGCCCCCAGAAGCTCTTTGCAGGCCAAAAATGCCCATTTTTGGCCTCCTGAACCCTTCGCGCGTCCTGTTTTTGCAGAGTGCTTCTGGGGGCTGGGGAGGATGAAAAAGGGACATGCGGAGGATTCGGGAGGCCAAAAACAGGCCCATATTCGGTATATAAGACACACAGACATTTCCACCCACTTTTTTTGGGGGGGGGATGTGTCTTATAGTCCGAAAAAAAACGTAATTTAATTTGGAGCCTTATAAAAGTACAGCATATCTCAGTGATTTGAACCTGCAGGAGACAAGTGTTTCTACAACTGCCTAAATGAGAATGTTGCTTTTATTTGAGAATAAATTGGAAATCAGTTTTCGCAAAGATGTTATCTTTTCTTGAAATTACTGTGATAATTTAGTTCATCATACCAAATAAAACAACCAAGTCAGGGCTTGCTAAACCTGGGGCCCTCTTAAGTATGGATTTCTATCTCCAGAATTATCCTCATGCTGGCCAAGAAATTCAGAGTGTTGGTCTATAAGCCATACCTGGTTGCCAACATTTCTTCTTCACTGTCTTTTTCTGAATCTTCTTCATTTTCAACTTCATCTTCAACATTCTGATCTATAAATTAATACATGTGCTGAATATTAAAGGCCTTAAACTAATTTTAAATGGGATTCTAGAAACACTTGCTTATAAATGTGTGAAAAAAACTGATGACTCTTATTATCAGAAAGAGTTCGGGATCCAGCCTAAATGGGAATTTTGAAAAAATAAATAATACCATGGTAGGCAAGAATTGAGCTGCATTGCTTAATCTCCAGAAGCTCTGATGCAAATCCTCTATAAACCTGAATTTTGATAGGAATCAATTAGGAAAATTAGATAAACTGCTTAGGAAAAATCCCTGTGTCATTTTTATTAATATATTGTTTAGAAAATATAATTCATTCTACTTGGTATTTGCTGGCAAATATGGTTATTATACTTGGTTACCTAATTTTAGCATGACCTACTGATGCACAACTTTGCTTAGTCCCCCAGAAGTAACAAAAGAGTAATATTATTTTAGTTTTGTTAAGAACTTTGTCCTTCTACAAGGATGAAGCCAGAGTCCCACTTGTACTTGCTCATGGATGGAGACAACTCTGCTAACCAAGATTTAAGGTTTACATTATGTTCTATTCCTTCCACGGCAAACATGTTAACGATCAAATTGGAATGTTTTTTAACTGAAAAGAGTGGGATTACAAAAATGCCAACTTAAAAAAAATACCTAGAAGTATTTAGTGATCAATATTAAGGAATAGTAATATTTTTCTATGTAGGGTACTGTCTTATTGACTAAGACTTTCACATCATTCTTCTAGACCACTTACAAATATCTGAATGACCATCAGAGACAGAGAATTTTATATATTCATCTATTTCATATTAAGTATTATATTTATTATATTTATATTATAAATAATATAAAGTAATATTAAATATTACTTTATATTTTTTTTCAAATGGTCCTATTCACCTCTATTTGATTCTTAGATTCATAGCCATATTAGATTATATGTGGATCTCAAACCACATTTTTATACTATTCACAATATAATAACACACAGTAGAGGTAACATAAAAAGTAGACTTTTATATATACCTTGTTCCTCAGATGTCGAATTGGTGCTAATGGAAGAAAAGTTGAGAAGAATTTAGAGATTTCATAATCTATAAATAAAAAGTTAATCACATTCTGCCAAACTATCAATACTAAGCTAATTAAAATACATGAATTTAATGTAAATTCCTCACATTCTTTCTTTTCAGAAATTGACAGAAGTTTTTGAACTGGAGGAAATAATTTAGCCTTGTTTGAGGTAGGTTTCAAAAATAGTCAAGTACTTGACTTATTAACAGCAAAATATTTCAACCTGTTTCTTACATCACAAATTACTTTTCGTTTCACAAACACCCCATACAGGTGGTCCTTGTCATAAAACCATAATGGAGCCCCAAATTTCTGATGCTAAGTGAGAAAGTTGTTAGGTGAGTTCTGCCCCATTTTACAACTTCTTGCCATGGTTATTAAGTGAATCACTGCAGTTATTTAATAACACAGTTGTTAAGTGGCTTCCCCACTGACTCTTCTTGCAAAAGGTAATCACATGACCCCAGGACACTAACCACCATAAATATGAACCAGTTGCCAAGCATCTGAATTTTTAACACTTGACCATAGGGATGCTGCAACTGTTATAAATATGAAAAATGGTCATAACTCAATTTTCTCAGTGCTGTTGTAACTTTGAACTAAATGGATTATTGTAAATCAAGTACTACCTGTAATACAATTTGATAAACATACAGTACTGTCATTTAGGGAAAATCAAGCCTGAGAGAAATGATGGAATTGACTGTTTCTCAGGATTACAGATAAAGATAACTTGGAATAGTTACATGTAGCCCAGAACGTATCTGCTTACCTGTTCTGTGTGGATGCTAACTCCTCCAAGACATTTTCAGGAAGCAGCTTTCTTTTCTGAGAAGATTAAATTTTTCCAATTAATACTATTTCTAGTCATTAACTTAGTCCTCTAATAATTTTTTGGAGACTTTGATTAGTTATAAACTATATCTAGTTAATTCAAGGCAGCAAATCTAAGTATGAAAATATAACATTATAACAATAATGTAATACCTAAATCAAGCATACGTTGAAATGGGTAGGAAACGTAGTATCCTCCAGATCAGGGGTGTCAAACTGGTGACGCATGGGCCAGATATGTCATGCGCAGGCCATGCTCATCCTGGCTCCACAAAGGGAAAAAATGTCATGATACGTCACATGATGTGATTAGAGTTTGACACACATGCTCCAGATGTTTTCCACCTACAACTCCCAAAATCCCTGATCACTTGTGATGCTAGAAGAAAATCTCTGCATAATGCTTGTTATTGTCCCAGAACTTTTAGTTGGTAATAAGAGCACTAAAGAGTTTACTTTTGCAAACTGCCACATGTTCTGAAACTAGAAATAGTTTTCATGGTGGGAAATAAATCCCTAAGAATAGTTTATTTCCCTATTATTTTCTATATTCAGCACATATTCCCTTGTCATTTTCATTGCTTAAATCTGTCCAATCTGATTCTCTTTGGATATGCCGAACAAAACTCACATCATCCTCAATCAAGTCCAGCTCACTTAAAGGACACATTAAGGAGACTTTAAAATGGTAGCTGGAACATTTACAATACAATAGCAACACTTTGGCAGCTTTTCATTAAGACAAATCCTTGTTCAATAATTTCGACATGCTATTATAAATTCTCAGAAAATCAGGAAGCAGTATATGTAGTTAAATTTACAGTGAAACATGATAAAAATTACAATGGAATAAACTTTCATTATAATTACACCCTACACGAGATAGGGTGTAAACATGTCTGAACCTTTTTTATGTTTAACAAAGCATTATAAAACATTATAAACATGAGATACAAAATTACCTTTTGTTCCTTAAATAGTTCTTCTCTATGTCGTCTCTTTTCTTTCAATGTGGCCTTTTCTCTAAGAAAGCAAAATAAGACATGAATGGATTACAAAAATATGCATTTGGTCCACAAAGCTGAATGCGTTCACAAAATGCTGCCTCCATACAAGGTGATGTAATTAAAGGTTTTCCTGTTTTTAAAAATATGGGATGTGTCACTGGTTAAAATCTGTATTATTGCAATGCATATAATCAACACCCAGAACAGTAACAGAGTTGGAAGGGACCTTGGAGGTCTTCTAGTCCAACCCCCTATTCTCTCAAGCAGGAGAACCTATACCATTTCAGAGAAGTAAGTAGTTGTCCAATTTCTTCTTAGAAACAATAAATGATGGAGCACCTACAACTTCTGGAGGCCAGCCGTTCATCCGATTCACTGTTTTGGTAGGAAACTTCTTAGTTTTAGGTTGGATCTCTTTGATAAGTTTCCATCCGTTACTTCCTATCCTGCCCTGGATGCTTTGGAGAATAGGCCGAACCCCCGAACCCCCCATTACAGATGATACGAGAGGCAGCTTTCCAAATTGCTTACATGGATACTGAGGCCAAGGACAACGGCGAATGGAATTACGGAAGGGAAATTCCTACTGAAAGCTTGGCCAGAAAAAACAACGTTGACAATATCGGACAAAGAGCCACTCCTGAAAACTACCGCTGTAATGACTTTAGATGCAACCTCCCGCTGCCTCCGTTGGCTTTTGGCTTCTCTGCTTTGCTGTACCGGAGCGGCACTCCCGGGGGGGGGGGGCGCGCAATCGGCAGGGCAGGGCGGCTCAGGCCGCTCCGAGGCCCTCCTCACCCGCTGCCCCGGTTCCCGCGTCGGGTGGCGGAGGGCTTGTGTTACCTGCGGGCCCGCTCCCCCGCCAACCGGCGCTCCTCCGCAGCGGCTTCCCGCGCCCTCTCGAAAGTCACTTCCTCTGGGGCCTCGTCGCTTTCTTCCTCGTCGGAAAAGGCAGCGGCGGCCATAACCGCCGCTTCTCTTTGCTCCATTGCCTTAGCGCCACCACTGCGCGCCTCCATCTTGCTAACCTAACTTCCGGTGAACCTCGAACTCTATCACCGGAAGAAATCCGCCGGAACCTAAAAAGGCAGGGCGGGGGTGGGGGTTTCCGCCTACGGTACTTCGTGTGCCGGGAAAGGCAGCTGGCAAATAGAGTTTTGAGATAACCCGGAAGGAGACCTTCGCCTTCATTATTAGATACTTTTTTTAAAAAAACAAAACATCTTTGGTGGTTTGTGGAGACAACAGAAACAATTTACAGTGTAAAATACCTACAACTGGGCGTTAAAGGGTTTTTACAAGGACCACGGGAAAGTCTGTAGAGATTGTCAGTCACCCAGGTCAGGGTTGTCCCAAAGGTGCTTTTTCAGGAGGCAACTGGACTTTCTTGTTTTTTCTCTTTGAAGACGTTTCGCTCCTCAGCCAAGAAGCTTCTTCAGGTCTGACTGGATGGTGGGGACTGGAAGGATTTATATTCCTTGCAGACAGCTGGTCATTTGCATCGTTTTAGAGAGTCGTTGAGGCCACTTGGAGGTTTACCTGTGTCCTCAGGGTCACCTGAGTAGTGCTCCTGGTTCCTGTAGTCAACGATTTTTTTCCTCTGGCAATCCATTCCTACTCCCACACCATTCCAAGGGTGTTCATCCCAAATTGTATAGCTAAAAGTTTGTAGAGATTCGTCATGGTTGTTCCAAAGGTGCTTTTTCAGGAGGCAACTGGATTTTGTTGTTTTTTCTTTGAAGAAAAAAGTATCCTGTCAGAGCTGAAGATGCTTCTTAGATGAGAAGCGAAACGTCTTCAAAGAGAAAAAAACAAAGTCCAATTGCCTCCTGAAAAAGCACCTTTGGGACAATCACGGGAAAGAAGAATCCAAAATGTAGGTTCTGTCAATTATGTTTCTTATACCAATTGCAGCGTTTTATGTTTCCCACTCTTTCCAAAATGAATAGAGGGGTCCGGTTCATGCCCCTTCCATGTATCTATGCATTGGATGAACGTCTTTTTTTAAAAAAATTGGCTATCTTTATCGTGAACAGCAAACTAAGGTAGTGGGAGTTGGAGTTGGTAGGAAATGCAGTCCAAAACCCAGGCTATTGTAATTGGACCAAAAAGTCGGATGACCACTAGAGTTTTGGTTATTCAAATATAACAGCCTTCCCCAAACACAATGGAGAATTGCTGGCTGCTTTTCCACTAGCAGATTGGCGCAAGAGGGCAATTCACTAGGGTTGAGCGCTGCATCCTGGCTTCAATGTTGTGTGGGGGGAAAAAACACTTGCACAATCTATGGCCAAGCCTTTGCTCTGAGCCCTTCTCACTACTATGTTATGGAAGCAATTGATCCTCTCAGTATTCCTGCGGCAACTAACACCCCAACACACTGCATAAAAATTAATTTACTTTGGTCTGTGTTGCCATCTCATATTTCCTGATAAACACAGTAGTAGATAATCACAACTGCTCTGAAACTCCCACTTTCAGATCAGTTTCCTCTTCTATTGTAGGAGACATAGACAAGAATTAAAGGGTGCAAGTCCCATTACCCTCATTTAATGGACCAGGATTGTTTTCCCAAGCAAAGCAATTGTTAAAACATCACCTAGGCTGCTTAACAGTTGTATTGCAGTGGTTAAACAAGGATTGAGCAAGGCAAGGATTTCTCATTTTTCCTGTCCTGCACAAACTGCTTCTGCTTCAACTGTCCCACTTGCCTATCTCCTCTCCATCTCTGTTCTGTTGGTGTCCTGCACAGAATGGCAAAGATGAAGACATCACTGTATTGGGCCACCACTATCTACCTGCTGCTGCCTGCTCTTTCCCAAACTGACCATTATCTTCTTTGCTTCTCCTTCATTGGGCTCACTGCCATTGCCCATCCTCAAGCCCCATGGAGCAGGGATCCTGTCCATAACAGAATAACAGTTGGAAGGGACCTGGGAGGTCTTCTATTCCAACCCTCTGCTCAAGCAGGAAACCCTATACCATTTTGGACAAATGGTTCCCAATCTCTTCTTAAAAACCTCCAGTGTTGGGAACACTCACAACTTCTGGAGGCAAGTCGTTGCACTGATTAAATTGTTGTCAGGAAAAGAAAAGGCCCCTTGCAGCTACTGTGCTGCACCATTGTCTCCCTTGCTCTTCGCTCAGCAGGCTCAGCCCACTGCCTGACTACTCTTCAATGTTTTTATTAATGTCTAGGATGAAAAGTGAAGAATACTTAGCAATTTGTGGGTGAGACATTAGAATGGATATTGTTTGTGGACAAAAATAAATTTCAAAGTGATATTAGAGAAATCAGCTGAAAATAAGTTACATTTCACACATCCAAAATCCTTAGGAAACAAATCAACTGCACAAACATAAGGCAGATATCTTGCTGAGTGTAGTTGTGAAAAAACTGCCAGCTAATTTACTGGAGAAAAACCACATGCATCAGGGAAAGCAATATTTCCAAATCATATTCTAATTTGCATTGGCCAGGTTCCATCTCAAGTATTGTGCCAGTTCTAAATACTAGGATTCAGAGAAATTGGAGCAGGCTTAGAAAAGACCAGACCATAGAGTCATTCTAAGAGGGAGACAGTGGTCTCTAAATATGATTGGTTAATAAGCAACCAAGCAACAAGGATGGTAAATCCAATAAAGCAAGCTGGAAGGAGCTAAGTTTAAGCCTTGAGAAAAATGACTGAAATGGGATCTGGTATCAATTTTCAAATACCTGAAAGGATGCCATATGTAAGATAAATACTTGTTCTCTCATTCCAGAGTGCAAGACACAGAATAATAAAGTAACAGAAAAGCAGATTTTAATTTTAATGTTAGGGAGGAGAAAAAATCTTAACAGTACGTTTCACAACCCATTGAGCAGGCTTGTTAAAATTCCTGGCCCGCGGGCCGGATGCATCACACACTGGCCACGCCCAGTTTAGCGAAGGAGGAAAAAATCCTGATACATCATGTGATGCCGCCATGACATGAGTTTGACACCCCTGCCATTGAGGGTCACTAATATTGTCAAGGCAATAGGTTTCTTTTATACTGGAGAAAGTAAGTTCATACTCACTGTCATAAGACCTTTTAAAGTCAGATCCATTTCCCAGATGTTACTTGGGTTTCATTATATGAGTTATTGCTGTATATATGCCCTTAAAATACCATCCAATCTAGATAACTAAGAGCCCTATTTTAGGTGCCTTGCTAGGTTTCAAATGCAGCAATCTACTTAAAACTGAGGTGATCCTGCTGCTGGTGCCAAAAATCTGCATGTGTTGGCTCTACTTCTGGCTTGTTCATTTTTCCAATGATTCTCTAACCATGACTCTTGACAATTTGTTCCACTTTCCAGAAAACCAGAATCCAGAATTAGGTATGCCAGTGTTCCTTCTCATACCAACCTCTGCTAGCCATCGAGTTATTATGAGCTAGAACTGCAATTTGGCAGGTTTTCAATAAGTCTATCCAGGTGGACCAGGGCAATCTAAGTAACCACTGAGTGACAGGACATAAACGGAAAAGCCTTTAAACCAGCAAGATTACATATTTGATATTACATGTTCCAACTCTGTGGTGCTCTCTTTGACCCACTTTAAGATGTCCGCCCTGAGTCCTTCGGGAGTAGGGCGGTATATAAATTTAATAAATAAATAAATAAATAAATAAATAAATAAATAAATAAATAAATAATAATAATAATAATAATAATAATAATAATAATAATAATAATAATATCTGGTCTTCCATGATATTTGTATAATGATACCTCTTTTGCACAGGGAACTTTGTCCTTGTCATTTGGAGAAACTTGAAACTCTGTTCCTTTGTTGGTTTTTTCTAGAGCAAGTTGTACCCCCCTCGTAATAGCACTTGCTAGCAGACGTTGCACTTGTTCTGAGCATGGTTTTGTTTGCTTTATATTGTCAGACCAGCACAATTATTACAGTCACCATAGGAAAATGCTGTCTTACTTTCAGGATTCAGTCTTGCGTTTGGGATTCTGCAATTATGAAACATTATTTATGCTTTCTTTTTGTCACACGACTGGTCACTGACCACGCATTATAAAATTACAATAATCCAAAGAGATGGTGGATGTGATCCGAGGCTTGATAATTTAAATGGAATGCTTGAATTTGGATTCTTCAAGCATGAGCAAGATTGGCCCCTTGCAACTTTAGGATTTGAGAAATATATTTTCTCTCCAGTTCACCCAGCCAAAATGACTGCTAAAAAGGAGAGGGGAACAACCGTGGCTAATGGCATCTCTATAAAAATGCATGACTTTATGGGCATTCAGAACGGCTCACTGTGGAAGATACCAGAGGAACATCCTAAGAGGAGGAAGAGACAGGAAGCCACCTTGCTGCTTGTTTTCCACATTCCACAAAAGCTTTTCACGAGGAACCAGGGGCTGCAAAACATTCTCTCCCCGCTCTTTCCTATAGCACAAGCAGACCTCTGATAAGCATTGCTTTCCGTTTAATCAATCCTACGCCTAAATATTAAATTATAAAATGGAGCCTATTAAGTCATGCAGATAAAAGATAGCTAAAGATCTGCTTTAGAGTGTTTGTATATCAAGCTCATTCCCCTTCAATGTGTTTATCAGTGTTACTCTAATAACGGGCAGAATAAAATCAGTATACTGTATACTACTTGATAACATAATATAGCTTCATTTTTGATCAACAAAACAATATTAATCAATTAAAAGGGCATTGATTTATTTTAGTGCCTTAGAACAGCAAAGAAAACTGTAATTAAGTTCATACATATATTCATTCAGCTCTGGAAGTGAACTAGAAGTAGGCAACCATATGTAAATTGAAGCTATTAATCTATTTTTTATATTGCTTACAATCTTGAGCACTTCATTTCACAACAAAGAATAATTTTGTTTACTGATTTCCTGCAAAGTACTGGAGTGTAGGCTCTATTAAAAGCTAGCTTATTCTTAAATTTTTCAGTTTTACCCATTTTCAGAAAATAATTCTGTGAAATATGAATAATGGTAACATTCTCTCTTTGCTTGACATTTATCAAAGATACAATCTGAAACTCTTAAGAGTACAAATCTCTTTTTCACCATATTTGAGCAGTTTATATATTTATACTTTCAATTCACATGATTTCGCACCCCCCAACAGTGATAACCACTTTTCATGTCTCTGTCCATCATCCTTTACCACTGCTCATTCTTGTCATCTGAGAATCGTGACTTATTTGTCCACCGTCATCTTGACATTCCATAGTTCAGTTTCAGGCAAGGTGTTTTCCACAGGAGAACCGGTTCCTCTTAGATTTGCACCATTACTAAAATTGGCAATTATAGTTTTTCTCTTTCTTACTTCTCATAAATATTCAAGAGGTGGTCTTAGTTTCTTCATAGGCAAGGGCTGGAGGCAACGTAGTACCACAAGGACCTGAGAAATGGAATCTGAAAAAGAAGATTTGGGATTTAAGTTGTTTTTCAATAAATTATACATACAGTATATATTTTATTAATTTAAACCATTTATGGAGTTGCCACAGCAGTACCTATTATAAATGCATTTTGGCTATTATATCAAAACTTCAATCAAAAAACTAGGCAAACTTTGGAGAAGTGTCTGATGCCTCATGTTAGTACAGGAAGTTTATAAAAAGAGAGACCGCTAAGCTTTTTCTTATCTACAGTGTTGTTAAGAAGACATAACAAACTACTGTAAACTAGAAGGTGACCTTGTCTTTCTAACAAGCATTGATAAATCCTTCCAATTCTACTTACATTACTGCAAAAATGGATCTCACCATAACAACAAAAGGTGTTACCTGAACTTATCCGTTGCCGGAGTGCTTTGCATGTTGAATTCTGCAACTGGCACTCCCCTGGCAGATACCTGAGGAGCAAACATAGCAGCAGGATATACTATAGAAGAAGTTCCAATCTGTGAAAGAGAAACAAAACAGGGCTGCATCAAAGTCAGCAATAGGTTGACTGAACTAATAAAGCATTCACCTGGCTTGCCCTCTAACTTTGCCTGAGGCAAATATTTGCTTTCTCAATTTCTTTTAACTAGAAAGTTTGACCCCAACCATAGGAATGCAGCATTAGGATTAAACAAATGGTAATACTAGCCTTCAGCCACAGATCTACAAGCCATTTCTCAAATGCCATTCCTGCTTTGCACTCAGATGTTTCTTATCAGACCATTGCCTTGGCTGCAGCTCTTCCTTCTGTTTCTCAAAGTTACTCTCACAGCCCATTACAGTAAAATTTAGCAATTAACACAAATATCAAATCAGTTTATACAATTATTTTTGCCCACCAATTTATGCGTGCACATGTATGTGCATGTGTGTCTAGGTAATTTTTGACTCTGGCAACTCCCTGGATAAGTCCACACAGCTTTTTTGGTGAGATTTTGGAAGTAGTTTGCCACCGCTTTCCTCTCCTAAGAGTTACTGGCCCAAGATTTCCCCCCAGCTGGCTTTGTGCCTAAGATGGGACTAGAACTCAAAATATTTTCTTCTGATGCTTTAAACCACTGCATCAAACTGGCTCTCATTAATTATAATAAGAAATTATAATTTTAATTTAATTATCATTAATAAAATTTGACAGTATTGACCTATACAGTGCTAATTTGGGGATGCCTCAATTTAGTAATTTTTCTTAGAACTTAGAACAATAGGTTGGAAGGGACCTTGGAGATCTTCTAATCCAACCCCATATCCATGACAGGAGATCCTATACTATTACGGAGAAATGGCTGTCCAATCTCTTAATGTCACCTTTGCCCACTCCTGAGTCAGCTCTTAAGCAACCATGGCTGATTTGGAAAAAACCTCATAAATTGACATTTTTGAACACTGATGTTGGAAAAGGCTCATGAGAATATTGTGGACAGCCAAGAAAACAATTCAATGGATTATCAAACAAATGACCAGGTTCCAAATATCCTACTTTGGATATATGACCTAGATGTCTGGAGAAAGCTCTGATCCTGAGAAACATGAAAGGAAAGAGAAGTAAACCGGCAAGCAAGTGGTGATGGATGAACCATTGGAAAACCTGAAATCCCAGGATAAGTACAGATCACCTTAGAGAAAATCTCACTGGATGGATGCCAAGAGTTGACAATGACTTGATGGCACATAATCAAGCTGGACTGGAGCAGAAAAGCCCACAGCTGGTTACTAGGTTGGAAAAATGAAAAATAACCCAGAAGAAAGCAGTGTATCATCTACAGGTAGCCCTCGACCTAAGACAAGAATAGAGCCCAAAATTTCTGTTGCTAAGTGAAACACTTGTTAAGTGAGTTCTGCTCCATTTTACAACCTTTCTTCCCACAGCTGTTAAGTGAATCACTGCAGCTGTTAAGTTAGTAATCCGGTTGTTAAGTGAGTCTGGCTTCCCCATTGACTTTGCTTGTAAGGAGGTCACACAATGGGATCACATGACTCCAGGACACTGCACCCGTCCTAAATATGAACCAGTTGCCCAGCATCAAAATTTTAATCGTATGACTAAGGGGATGCTGCAATGAACTGTTGTAAGTCGAGGACTACATGTATATTGTTGTCAATGAAGCATGCTACACTTGATATTTATTGAGAGATATCTCTCCTAAAAACCATACATTTTTGCTTAGTTAAATGTCCTAACACAGGTGCAGTACAAGAAACAGGTGCAGTAGTTTAAATGTTGGACTAGGATCAAGGAAACCCTGATTCCAGTTGTCTTTTAGTCATGACAACTCCTTAAGTTCTCTTTTGGCCCAGCCTATCTCATAGTTTAGTGGAAGGGAAAACAGAAGGAGGGAGTACTATGTACAGATATTTAACTCCTGAATTAAAAGTGGAATACAAAGTTAATGAAATAAGAAAAGCAAATAAGTTTTAAAAACTACTTACCACCAAACAAAGATCACATATCTCAAGTTCTTTTTCAACCTCTGTAAGGATATTAGAATCCAAAGTTTCTCCAAACCATACAACATGAGGTCGCAAGAGGCCATTGCACAGTTCACATCTGTCTCCCCCCAAATATGGAGAAATTATATATATAATTTAAGCAAAGCAGAAAGATTAGTAAAGCAGTATAAAAGAGGTGATCACTTTACTTTAGAATATGTTGCACATGTATCAACTTCAGTGCAAAATTATTGAATATTGTTTAAATTCTAGAAAAACCCATTAGGAAAATCTTCATACTTTATACAGTATATTTAATCCAAATAAGTTATTCAAAATATTTCACCAATCTTGATATTGTTGTTATGCAAATAAATATTCCAGCCAATGAAACAAATCTAAGTTTTTGAATGTTAAAATAGAGAAAATTATGTATATAATGCTGCTAAAAATCATCGGAGCAAAAAAAATTACCCAGCTTAGGTAAGTCATACAACAAAAGGCTGGACTTTTATAATATTAATATGAAACTCATCATCTTGGTCTATGATAGCATAAATCCACTGTGATTTTAATTATATTTTAATCCTAAAACTGCATTTCGAATTAAGGATAATTGAATTAAATATATACTTAGAAATGCAGCTTATAATACAGATGTCAGTAGCCCAATAGGTATCCACAAATGGATACTAGTCCTCAGCAAAACTGAGAGGGAGATTTGAGACAATTCTACTTCTCCTGGAAGCTTGGGCATCCATTCCCAAGCCAATGTAGAAGTAGGGAGGGGGAATAAAAGGAAAAATCCTGGAAAAAAAGATCCCTATCACTGATGGATTATTTTTATCATGAGCATGACACTAGCTAGATGCTACTAATACTTTCATGTACAAAGTGTTTTAATGTCAATGCAAATGTTTTCTGATTGTTTGAACAAGAGTGTACATAATGTGTATTCTTTTACGCTGTCCAACAAATGCTCTTACATAACAGAGGCAGCATGTATAATTCTGTTCCCCCTCTGAACATTACAGTAATGAATATGAAAGCTGCAAACTTGTGGTCATTCAACTGCAACACAGATTTTTTTGTAGGGCAAATCATAATATCATGGATAAACACACACACACATAGTATTTTTATTTTTATTTTTTTTTTAGAAAACTGACATGAGATCAAAAATTGCATGAGATCAAAACTTACCGAGGGAGATCTCCCACAGGAATAGTAGCTTCTTCCGTTTCAGGATCTGGAGCACTAGAATTGTTAACAATAATAAGAATAAACATTTTACTATAATAAAGTACCACATAAGTATCATATTCTTTCTGATACTAGAAAATCTCTAGTTTTGATCTTATTTTAATGAGATAACCAACAACACGCACATTTTTTTCCTCTTGAAAACTAGTTTGAAAAAAGCAATAATGATTTTAAGAAATAGGCTTAATTGGCAATAACAAGGAAAAGTTTTACTCTAATGGGAAATGAATACAGTATTTTGCACATTTCCATGTAATAAACCTTTTCTTTTTCTTTCCTTTTTCCTACTTTAGATATCTTATTTTTTGAGATATAATTTTCTTGAAATTTTAAACATTAAGGAAGTAATTCAGCAAAACATCAGTCTTTGCACAGTCCTCATAATTGCTCACTTGTGTAAATGCTCAAGCAGAAGTTTATTATCCCTCAACTGTTCTTGGAATTGTGCCCCAAAATTACAAATAAAACCGCTAACAATTCTACATAGCAGCAACAGTAAAATTTTACATATATGACGTAGGGGCCTAAACAGGATAGCAGCTTGCCCACTCTAGATTCATGTAGCTTGCCTGCCTATTTAATGGTATCCTGTATTTCTATCATTCTTCACTAATAAAAATTGTGATTGTCATAGAACAGATAATTACCCTTTTCCAGCTAAAGCAGGACAGATTGGACTGTTGTAATTCTCCACCACATTTCTACAACTGGTGCATCGGGTTTTGAATAAGCTACCTGTAACATTAAGCAATAATATCAGATTACAATATTAATTTTTAAACTTTTATTTCTGGTAAAACTACAGGAACATGATACATCCTATTAAAATGAGAAGTAACAATATAGCTTTCATCAACATACAACAAAATCAAAGTTAATTGTAATATTTTGAAAACTGGAATGTAAGAGCCAACACGTACAAGTTATAAAATTATTACTACAAAAGGAATGGTAAACAGCCAATTATTTTTTGGTTTACATTTCCAGACATTAAAAATGCTTGCCTTACAGAGATGTTTTAAGTTCCTACATACTTGTAATTTGGGCATACGTAATGTTCATGCATATTTCTAGAGCTACAATATTGCCCATTTCCCTTTCTTGCACAAATGACTCCCTTCAAGATCTGCTGGAGGTAGGACAGGAATAATGGGCTTCAGAGAGAAAAAAGGATCCCCAACTGTTCTGTATAAAAATGTGCACATAAGCCTTGAAACCTTAACTTGTTTATATATGTAATTCTTACTCTCTATTTTCAGATGTTAATTTATAATCCACATTTTCAGTTCATCTTATATATTAAAGAAAACAATGCTTTTTTTCCTAAATAGAGTCAAAACACTGCCTATTTCTTTGAGCAGTGGTGTTGGGAAAAGGAGTAATACAGGTAGTCCTCCATTTACAAAAGTTCATTTAATGACCATTCAAAGTTACAATGGCACTGAAAAAGTGACTTATGACTGTTTTTCACACTTACAACAGTTGCAGCACCTCCATGGTCATGTGATCAAAATTCAGATGCTTGGCACTGGTTCATATTTATGACGGTTACACTATCCCATGGTCATGTGGTCTTCTGACAAGCAAAGTCAATGGGGAAGCCAGATTCTCCTAACAACTTTGTTACTAATTTAACAATTGCAGTAATTCATCTAACAATTGTGACAATAAAAGTCATAAAATTAGGCAAAACTCACTGAACAAATTTCTTGCTTAGCATCAGAAATTTTGGGCTCAACTGTGGTCGTAAGTTGAGGACTACCTGTATTGTCCTATTCTTCCATATTATTTCCTTAATCAAAATCCTTTCTTTATTATTTTTGCTCACAAGCTAAAATATAAGAAAAAGTTTTCCTCTCAATCTTTACAATATAAGCATAAAAGGTATTTTGGTACTCTGCTGAGGGAGAATCAAGACAAAGATAAGAACCCAGTCATAGCATGCGCAAGATCTTAGTGTGGAATCTATACTGACCAATAATTATTTATAGTGATTTATTAATATAAAATATGGTTAAATGAGCCCTTTCTGTGAATTCTTACCATGAATTTCTAAAACATGCTTTGATCCTGCTCTTTTGTGGAGTTCATCAATGTTTTGTGTGATGATCGCAACACTCCTGCCTTGCTTGCTTATCTTAGCCTCACACTCTGCTATGGCAAGGTGTGCAGGGTTTGGTTGTTTGGTCATCATTAATTCTCTACGGTAATGATAGAATTCCCACACTCGAGAGGGATTCCTTGCAAAAGCCTCCGGGGTAGCCAGTTCCTGTGAGAGGAAAAAATGTTTCTTATTTTGCTAAAAGAAAGAAATATTCATAGCTGACTATGAAGACTGACTTCATTATATGAAGTTGTAACGATATAAAATCAGCTTGCATTTATACAGTGTATTCCTATGTTCAAAATGCTTTATGAATATCATGGGGAAAGGTTAGTATAACTTTGACCTGTTTGTTTAAAACCACATATTATATCAAAGCAAGTTTTTATATAAATATAAGGTTTATATAGTATCACTTAAAATATAGAATTGTAAAGCTTATTGATAATGGATGCTACAAAATGCAGAATTTACATCAAAAAATCTCCATTGCAGTAACTTCCATTTCAGCTTCTCAAAGTCTATTCAAGGGCTAGATTTTTGTGACACTTATCTTACTAATTACACTTAGAAAAGTCAATTAAGACAATTTCAGGCTCAGGTGACAACCAGTCAGTAAATTCCTGTCATAACCAATGGATTGACACTAGGTGATCCAAAAAGCAAAACAAAACAAAACAAAAAAAGGCCACAGTTGTACTAATCTTTTTCCATTATATTCATTATTTATTTATTGATTCATTCATTTAACCTCTATGCAAAATACAGGCTGAAGAAGATTGAATTGAAAGAAGGAGAGCATAGTATTAAACTAGAGGAAAAAACTGCATTATACTAACAATACTACTCTGAAAGCTGGAAAAGCAAATAATGACATTCCAGTAATGAAAATCAAGGAACAGAGTGAAAATGAGACTAAACACAAGTAGTCCTCAAATTAAAAGGAGCTCTCTTCAGAAGTTTATAATGTTTGGAAAGGTAGAAGGAAAGGAAAAGAGGACAATCAGCAGTAAGTTGAATGGACTAGATTACAGCACAATAGATGCATCATTGGAGTAATTTAAGGGATCCTTAAGAGGACGGATCACACGTATACAGAGGATCCATTCATGTGATCACTAAGGGTCAACACTGACTTGATGGCATATAGTTCAAAGATAGGACTATCTTCACTAACTTATGTTGAAGCTGTGTGAAAATAAGTTTGGTTCAATAAATAATATTCATTATTCAATAAATACATAATAAAATTCAATAAATACGGTGAAATTATAGTTATGGTGAAATTTGAAATAGCTTAAACAGTATTATTTTTAGCCATTAACTTAATCAACTAATCTTAAAATCAGAAACAAATACATTGAGAAAAATTTAATTTGTAGAGACAAGTACACAAATAAGGCAATCTCAATTACACTAAAATTGTCTCTCCTTCCTATATGACATTGAAAGTCTTAAAGAAATCTTGGGGGGAAAAGAAAAAGAGTCCATTTGTGACTCAAAAAGAAAAAAGGATGTATTACTATAACTTATCAAATCATACTGTCAATTCGGTGAAATCTCAATGTACCAAACCTTATACAACAAGCTTCACTTAGAATGGACTAATTCTTAGAATGTGTTGTTTGCAAATATATTGATGAAAACACCATTTGTGTCATTATCATTCCTTAATACTTTGTCATTTGCATCATTTGTATAATGTGGAACATTGATTGAACGGCATCATTGAGAGTTGCATAGCATATAAATTTAATTATTATGCATATTATACAAATTACCCCCAGGTTAGTGTCTTTCATAAATAATGAACACCCTTTTAGAATAGAATAAAATAGAATAGAGTTGGAAGGGACCTTGGAGGTCTTCTAGTCCACCCCCCTGCTTAGGCAGGAAACCCTACACCACTTCAGACAAATGGTTATCTAATTTCGTCTTAGAACTTCCAGTGTTGAAGCATTTACAACTTCTAGAGGCAAGTTGTTTCACTGATTAATTGTTCTAACTGTCAGGAAATTTCTCCTGTTTCTCCCCCAACTAATCCATTAAAATAAGATTTTATATTATGTTAACAAAAGTTAATAATTCTAACAGAATTTAATTACGGTACATTCACATTTACTACACATAAGCATTCCAATCTACACTGAGACAATTTTGAAATATGACACTGTTGTGTTTCATCTAATAATACACTGAATGATTAGCTAACTAGCCTACATATCAAGATTTTAAATCTACCACAGAGTGATGACATTCTAAGCAAAGGACTTGGTTTTGACTTAGAACACAGCGTGAGCCAGGCCACAGTATCAAACCATACTCAAAGCAAACTGTTGCTTAACACGTCATACTAGGTTCTTAAAAAGTATTAAGGCTTTTAAATAATATTTAGCATCCTGAAAGTATACCAATACTACATACTTGTGCATGCCATTTCCTCCAAAAGCCTCCTGCACCTCGGAAAGTTGGAACGCCACTCTCTGCACTGATTCCAGCCCCTGTGATAATTGCTATATGTTTTGCTTTAGCAAATATATCTCGAAATTCAGCAATATCTTAAAAATATAAGAAAAATACAATTACATTTTTCAAACATGCTTTCAATACACGTTATTTTGATTAGAGTGTGGAAAATTATTTTTCAACTATAAAAGTTCCTCTTCTGGGTGGTCCTAAATGAATTCAATCCAATAAGCTCTGCCTGAATGTTAGATATGGATCTTAACATTTCTAAGGAGGAGGACAGGCGAACATGTTCCAAAGGTAAATTATGCTTGCATATTAGTCATTTGAGTGTTTAAACTGAAGCTTAAAAAAGAAAATAGATCGTTTATACTCAAAATTAGATACATATGAAACCTATTTTACACGGTAAAATCCAAGGAATCTTATGCAGCTTGGCATATACGTCCTAAAAATTAGAAACAGACTTTTCAACAATTTGTATTGATATTTCCTTGTTTTTACCTAAGTATGTCAAAGAAATAACAGCTTAGTTCTATGATTATCTAGCATATCTAATCAATTTATTTTAAAAATGTTCTTTCTGAAGCTAATGTTAATTGCTATTTGTTTGTCAAATTTAGGAGGTCCAACTCTGTAAAATCATTAGGTTGCATACAATATTAAAAAATAGAACCAATACAATAAGGAAAAGAATTAAGCACATCCAAAAGCAAAAAAACATTTCAATTAACATATCAAGGGATATAAGGGCTTCCCACCCACAATAATATAAGGTCTAAGGAAAAAGATGGTTTCTGGAAACTTTCTATAGTTAACTTGCAAACCTGAGTCAATAAAAATGTTTGATTAGCTTTAAAAATAGACCAAGGAATAAGAAACAAGGAGATTTCATATGGATAGTTTAATACAGTATGAAATCTGTGTCCCTCTCCCCTTCCAGATTTTATATTATAAATAAATCTCATTTTTTGATTTGAAGGGAAGAAGCAGGCAAATTTGGGGAGATGAATCACCAGATTGCTGTTTTTAAACCAAAGGATATTTTGGGGGAAATAGACATGGACAGAGAAATTATGAGGAAGATATAGTGGCACAGGAGAAGCAATCACATGACCATATTAAATAAGATGGTCATAAACAATTTATTTGCTCTCTTCATTCAAGCTAATAAAGTTAAATTCAAGCTAATTCAAGCTAATGCATTTGCCAGTTTTATTTTTAAAAGTTCCTTAAATGTACCCAAAATATTCCTTTAATAACAGAAAATAAATTAAATTCCATTATCTGTACAGTCTCCATCACCAACTGTTCTCAATGCCTACATGCTGTGCATGTCTGATGTCACAATTCCTTTGTTATACAAGAAATGATATTTTTAAACTTCTGAATTTATAAAAGAATCCCATCTTACTTGAACTGGGTCGTGCCATTTCAAAGTATGCCCTTTCTTTCTTGGCTGGAGCAAATTTAAGCCCGCAATATACTTGAGAAACCACGTTCCTCACGGTAAGGTTGAAAAGCTTCATTAGGATTCTGTATTCTGCTAAGTGAGATTGAAAAGAGTAAAGTGGAAAAGTAGCCATTTGACAAAATAAAAAAAGCAAAATGCATTTGCCTGCATTTATCCTGCATATATTTCATAGTATAGTAAATACCACCCTAATAAATTGGCCTACATTATGAATTACAGTCCATTCTAGTCCAGAGCACATAAATGTAGTATAATACATTGCTTCTTATATTAGCTCTTCTGTGATAGAATTTTCCACAAAGATTGCATCCTTCTTTCTTCATTTTGCCCATAGCCTTCCTGCTAATACAAGTTGTTAAAGCTTTTTAAGGCTTATTCACCAGACTGACACAAGTAAAGAGAACACCTGAAACTGGAAGCTTGAGAAATTATTTATCAAAATGTATCTTTTCTCACAGAAGAGAAAAAAGTCTAATTTTATTCACTGAAAGACCAGTTCAATGCAATTTATAGCATTAATTTTTAAATTGTACCCTTCTAATTAAGTTTAAGTTTTTATAAAACCGTTGTTTAAAATCTGATGGTAACATTTATCTCAATATACTGTCTACCAATTTAGATAAGATTATTCACATTTCCTGCCTTATTAGTATAATGGTGCTAGCTGTGATTTAAAAAAAAAAATCCTCCTTTATTTTCATAAATAACTGAAGGTGGCAAACATATCTAATACCCCTTCTTCCTCCTTTTCCCCCACAAGAAAAACTCCGTGAAGTGAACTGGGTTGAGAGAGATTGGCCCACTTCTTTTTGCTTTGCAGCCATATTTCTCATATTCCCTTATTTTGGTATACAATTCTTCTTATCATGATTTTTCTTACTCCATACTGTGTTCTAGAAAACCTTTCTATAAATCTATAAATCTACTGCATATTTTCTTAAACCAATGCCTAGTATTTGAGTCAGGATTGACTTACATGATGATTTACATGAACACATCTTTGCAGTTTTCTTAGCATGATGTAGAAATGATTTAAAAATCAATAGCAGATTTAGCAAAATTGTTATCAAAAGCTAGATTTAACTTTGCCTATGAAGATTCTCAGTCATCCAGGTTATGGTTGTCCCAAGGGTGCTTTTTCAAGAGGCAACTGGGCTTTCTGATTTTTCTTTGAAGACGTTTCACTTCTCATCCAAGAAACTTTTTCAGCTGACTGGATGGTGGGGAATGGAAGGATTTATACTCCTTGCATGGCATTATTACAGCGAGTTGTTAAGGCCACCTGGAAGTTTATCTGTGTCGTCAGGGTGACCTGAATGGTGCAACTGGGTGTGGAGCTTTCTCGGAACTGTTGAAAGGACTGTGTTGTAGACTGAAGATAGATCGTCTTGTATTCCTCCCTCTCTTTTGAGAGAGGGCTGTTCAATTTTGACATAGATGGCCTCTTTGGCCCTTTTTTCAAACCAGCAGTCCTCTCTGTCCAAAATGTGGACTTTGCTATCTTCAGAACAGTGGCATTTGTCTTTTAAATGCAGATGGACTGCTGAATCTAGTCCTGATGGGCTTGTTCTCCTGTGTTGTGCCATGTGTTTATGAAGTGGTTTATGAAGCTGTCTGCAAGGAGTATAAATCCTTCCATTCTCCATCATCTAGTCAGAGCTGAAGAAGCGTCTTGGATGAGAAGTGAAACGTCTTAAAAGAAAAAACCAGAAAATCCAGTTCCCCCTTGAAAAAGCACCTTTGGGAGACTCAACTTTGCTGTGATTATAAATGACTCAAAGGGACTTCGCTGTCATAAGTGACTCAAATTGTTCAAGTTACAGAGATCGTTACAAGAAGACTTACCAGATGTCACCCACTGTATTGGTTATTAAAGCATTCATACATTCACTTTTAGTTGTGAAAATTCACTAGGAATGCTGATGTTATTAGGTAGAAAGCCCATTGCCAAAATAAGTAGAGGGAAGAGTTGTTTTGAGAGGGGGGGAGGTAATGCCCAGTGGAACATAATACTGCAATCCCATTCAGTTCCAACTGGAGTTCTAAAGGCAAAAAATAACAAAATTTAAGAAGGAAAAAAAACTATACGGAGAGATATGTTTTGATCAAACCAATTTGAGCCACCCAAAGCTTCCTAATCAATAAAACAGGACTGGACGTAGGGACAGCAGATGTCCAATGAAGCCGAAAAAACACTTGACACCTTTTAAAAAAAACTAGATTAAATGACTATTTAAATTCAACAGATCTGTATTTACGTGGCCTATCTTTTTCAGTTCTGCCTACTGCATATAACTAATGGAGGGAAAAGAAGGAAAACACCAGAACTTTAGTTAGCACAATCGCACATTCGCTACCTCGAGATAATGTAAAATACGTACGTACATACATAAAGGTAGTCCTCGACTTAAGACCACAATTGAGCCCCGAATTTAGGTTGCTAAGCGAAAAATTTGTTAAGTGGGGTTTGCCCCATTTTACCACTTTCCTTGCCACAGTTGTTAAGTGAATCACTGAAGCTAGTAATGTGGTTGTTAAGTGAATCTGGCTTCCCCATTGACTTTGCTTGTCAAAAGGTCCCAAAAGATGATCAGATCACATCACATCACACACACACACACACACACACACACACACACACACACACACGGGGCCCTTGTAACCGTCATAAATGTGAGTCTGTTGTCAAGCATCCAAATGTCAATCACGTGACCGTGGGGTAGGCTGCAATGGTCGTAAGTGTGAGAAAGGGTCGTAGGTCACTTTTTTCAGGGCCGTTGTAACTTCGAACGGTCACTAAATGAATGGTCGTAAATCGAGGACTACCTGCATTACAAAGGTGGAATATCAATATGTTGTTTTTATTATTTCTGTCACAAACGGCAAGAAGCAGGCCTAAGCAGACCAGGGCCCGCCTCCACCTCCACCCCCCGCAACACAGGCCAGCCAGCGCTTCTGGACTCGCCCAAGAGGGGCTGGAATTGGTTCTTCCTCCTCCAGTAATGAGGCAGCCGAAAAGCCAGCAACAAAACTCCCCGCCCCGGGCCGCACCTGGTTGTCAGGTCTGTCCCCCCCCCTCCCCCTCAGAAAGCGGAGCCGACTGGTGAAACCCACGGACGGAACCCAGCGCGCCCGGTTCCCCGAGACTACGAGTTTCGACCGAGCGGCCGTGTTACTTACCCCGAGCCCCACCTCACGCTTCCCTGGGCCCGTCCAGCCAGCGCGACCGTAGCCCGCCAGGAAGTGGCAAGCAGGCCTGGCCGCCTGAGCGCCCTCCCTCTCCCCCCTGCAGCGCGCACGAGGAAGCCCTGCGTGAAAACTGGCACGTCCCCCGCGTGCCGGTCGTCCCTCAACTACCCCTTCTGGGGTTGCTATGGCAGCGGTGGGAGGGAGGGAAGGGGGGGGCAGAGGACAGGCGGCCACGACTCTGTCGCTCTCGCTTCGAACTGACAGGCGTCGCCAGCGAGGCGGGGTTTAGCGCCAGGCTTTTATGGGATCCTTTTTTTTTTTAGGAATTCTGGGAGTTGAAGTCCGCGTAGCTTAAAGTTGCCCAATATGAGAAGCACTGGTCTAGATCAGAGGGTTCCAAGCTTGGCTACTTTAAGACATTGTGGACTTCAACTCCCAGAATTCCTCAGCCACGGTAGGGAGTCCTGGGAGATGAAGTCCACAAGTCTTAAAGTGGCCAAGTTTGGAGTCCTTTGATGTAGGTGGTGGAAGGGAACTGCTGAACTATGTTTGGAGCAAATATATGCAGAAATCAGTCAACAGGGTTTGCTCAGAAGCACCCCGAGAAAGGTTCCAATCCTAGAAGACTTAAAGGTAAAGGTAACCTGTCCAGTTGTGAAGGAACCAGTGTTTTTCGAAGACATTTCTGTGGTCATGTGCTGGTATCTTGCCACCTTCTTGGTACCTATTTATCTACTCACTTTGCATGCTTTCAAACTGCCAGGTGGGCAGCAGCTGGGACAAGTAATAGGAGTTTACCCGGCCCAATGGTGCTCAGGTTTTGAATCCCAGCTGTCAGTTTTCCAGCTCATAAATCCAGTATCTTTAACTGCTGGGCCATCACTCCCACACCTAGAAGTCTTACAATTCAATTTTCTTCCAAAAGAATGATTATAAAATTACTGAGTTTATTTGAGATCTTGAGGTATTGTTTTCTGCTTGATTGTTTGAGGAGTGTTAATATCTGGTTATCTTAGTGTTGACTTTGGAGAGGATATATTCTGGTCTTTTTGTTTCCTCCTTAGCTTTTGGAATTTTTTTTGAATGGTATATAAATGTGGTTTATCTCTATGTATCTATTGATGGCTGATTTGTCTGAATGCCAAGCTTGGGCTGTTTTTGGATTTAGCTTGGTCTAGGATGCTCAGAGTTTCCCAGTTGAAACTATGAGTCTGTCCATATGTTCTAAAATTAAAGATTTTCATTCATCCCTGACTGCTATTTGAAATTCCTGGATGCATTCTGCTAGTCTTCTTCCTGTCTATCCTACATAGCAGCTATTAACAATTCTTACATTGTATGTTGTAGACAACTTTTTTTGGCTGTTGGGGATCTTTGGTTTACATATTAAGATGCTTTGGAGAGCTTTAGTGGGTTTGTGTCCTACAGTGATGGGTGATGGTGTATGGTTGTAATAGTCTGCTGGTTGTTTCTGAGATGTTTTTGACATATGGTTTGTTGTTGTTGTTAGTCACGAAGTCGTGTCTGACTCATCACGAACCCATGGACAACGTTCCTCCAGTATGGTAGTGTTATCGTTTTCATAGCTTGTATAAGTTTCGCTATAGTAGATTGAGTGATCAGGCAGAGTCCTCCTCTGGATATGGAGTAGGCTAGATGGGTGACCACAAAGAAATGTCTTCATAAAATGGCAACAGTATCCAGCTTATTTTATGCCCTTCCCACAAATGCATACAGTATATGGCACCCATAATTATGTTTATCAGTATCAGATTAAGAATACTAAAATAGTTTTTAAATCGCATTTTATAGTTGTTGTAAACCTCTAGTTGAAACAAGATTTCTCTCCTTAATAACTGCGTTGGTGTGTTGCATTTGTGTCTGTATGTATGGTGTTTGTTTATGTATATAAACATAAGAGAGGGCTGTAAAAGCACTGTGAAGCAGTATATAAGTCTAAAGTGCTATTGCTATATAGCATTAGGTAGAAGCCACATCTAAATAAAACAGAATTCATAACTACTGATTAAAATTGCCTGTACAGGAATATATCCCATTTATAAAATTAAGTAAACTTCTACCTGCATATACCAACCATTCTGTCAAAACACACACACACACACACACACACATTTCCCTCCTTTTAATGCGTTCAGGAGTGGGAGTAGCTGCAGTGAAAATGGAGAAGGTACATAACTGGGTGAGGCAAGGAGAAAGGTAGTAAAATAAGAATAGAAAGAAAAGACAAGCTGTTTTTAAATGTCACAAAAATGGTTCTGTTCAAGCAACTGGCTGATAAAGAGTTTAATCTTCAAAGCTAACCTTGTTTCTCCAGTGTAGCTGCGGGATAGTCCAGGAATGGGTTGCTACAGTCGGATCTGCCCAGAGATTGAGTCATAATTCTTTAGCCACACCCTCCTGCCTCTCTCTCAGGCCCAGTTTTCAACTCAGTTGGCCCAAGAGACGTTCTTTTGGAGACGGCTGTACTCTACACTTCATTCCTGGACTATCCTTTCACAGGTTTTTCCGCTTCGGTTTCATTAACGCCTACATTTACACCTACGTTTACTTTGCTTGCGCAATGGCCTGTGGAGTGTGCTGGCTAGTTCAGCCTTGCTGACAACTCTGCCATCTTAGGACCTCACCACCATTCAAGCGGGCCTACTCTTAGTAACGGCATGGAGCGGGTCGGCAGGCTGCCTATCATGGCTGCCTATCATTATCGGCAACCGACAGCTAAGCTGCTGAGAAGTTCATCGCTGCTGCGGCACACCCATCAGAAGCGCCTGGACTCGCCCTTAGAGTGGTGCTAGTTAGTGCATTTACTGCCAGCCCCCGGTTCTCCTGGGTCAGGAAGCAGCGCGAGGAAGCCGGTTGTGATTGAGCCGCCAATCCCTGGTTATTCCAGGTAGGAGGAGCAGCACCCCTAAGTTCACCTTAAGAATGCTGCCCTTTGGAGCAGTAGTCACTAAACTGCTCATGTGTGTGCTGGCTACTCCATGATAATTTTCAGCACTGCCACCACCGCATCGGTCCCTCCTGTCTTCGGGTCTGCCATTGGAGCCACAGGGTCCCTGCCCTCGACCCTTGGCCACTACCCTGGTTCATAGTAAGCAGGGCAGTAACATCAATAGATTCCAAGCTCCTGCATTTAACCATTGCCACTGTTAAAATGGCGGATCGTCCATTGGTGAGGGAGGAGCAACATCAAACTGCCTCAAAACCAAGCGCTGAAGCCTCAGTGAGCAGGAAAGCGAGCTGCAAATCTGTTAAGGGAAGAAAGGGCAAGCAGGTCTCTAAGGCAGAGTTAAAGGACATGGAAAGGAGACAAAGAGCTCTGGAGAAGCAGGTCTCCAGAGCTGAGCAATAACAGGCAGAGTTGGAGAAACTGTCAAACTCTAACGAGCCATCAGTTTCCCGCCCTTTTCTGAAAGAGCAGTTAGCTCATTCCTCTCAGGTTTCTCAGGCTTGGTCACCAGAGGGAGCTGGTGCTATCCCCAACTCCAGCGTTGCTTGATAGCAGAGAAAAAGATGTGGAGAATGATCCCTTTGCTTGCCAAATAGCAGGAGCATGGCCTCAACCTACTCATGACAGGTTTTATGCCCAAGGGGCTTCTTACATGCCCCCAGTGGCTGGTTTGCGTTCAAATGAAGCCCACCTGTCAGACTTGCCTGATAACTTGAAACAATTGATTTCTCAGGCAATAACTAGAGGCATTGCAGCTGGGATGTATCAGCAATGTTCTGCTTCATATCCCCTGACATCCCCACCTTCACAGGGCTTTTTCCTCCAGGGCTGTTCAAATAATTATTGCATAAGACAAAGGCCACAGCCCACTTGTCAGAGGATTCACCAGCAGCAGAGCCAGTGGTGCCTCCTCAGGATCATAGCCAGGGCCTATTTTCTGAGCCCATAGTGGAACAGCAGTTCATTCCGGTTCCCAAACTGTTTCTAGACAATGGGCAAGCCCGGCGTCGCTCCCCATTCCCAGTGGGAAGGACAAATGGTTCTATGACATGGCACCAAATTTGTCCCTGAAGGCAGAGGACAAAAAATCCGAATTGACCTTAAGGAAAACCCACCACGCTGCGGCCTGGGCAATTAAAACCTCTATGGCGGCATCTTTCTTTAACTGCACTTCCCTCCTTTGGCTCCGCCAACTGCAATCAAGGGTAGCTCCCCAGGAGGCTCGCCTGCATCAGGACCTTAATAAGCTCATTGCAGCAGCTGTCTGAGCCCTTTAATCCAGCTGCCTCTTTTTCTGAAATTATGTGCTTATCTTCCATTGCTGAATGTAATCCTGGGAAAAGATTTGGAAGTTGCAGAAAAGTGCTATTGTTTGTGCTCTGAAGCACCCCTGTAGAATCACTTCTAAAGCAGCCCACAATCCCCAATGATTATCACCAGTTCCTCCCATACTCCTTGGTGCTGATGAGGATCCTCCTTGTGCTCTTCAAAGGGTAAAAGGAATAGGAAAAACTGGCAAAATTACTTTCCTTCTCTCATCACCAGCAGAAATCCATAATTTCAGACTCAATTCGGTAATTATGTGTGATGAAGAAGCTTTCATGTATAAGCTGGAAGCTACCTAATGGTACAGAAGACCATATGCATCATAGTCAACGTGAGGAATGATGGTTTTGCAGAGGGGATTGACAAATTCATCAATGAACATACTTTACAACTTTAATACTTTATCATCTTCAAAAAGTGTATCCAGACATATGTATAGAATATGCTAAACTTTGAATTACTGAACAGTTTAGTTAATAAAATGCTGTGTTACAGAATATAAAATCAAATAAGCAAAAACATTTATAAAAATCTGAAGTAAACACTCTGTATTCTAACACAATTCTTCTGTACCAATTAAATACAGTATAGCAGAAATAGAATATAAATTACATTCTTTACAATAATTGCAAAATACTAGGAGTTAGCTTACTATACATACAAATCAAACAGCAGTAGCAGCAGTTTGTCCATAAGGTCCCATTATCTCAATTACTTTCTAAAAAGTGAAAACTACAGTAGGCCATTCATATTTCCTTTTTCTTGAACCATTTGCTACTTTACATATATCCAACTTAGTATCTATACACGGAACAATTCCCTAAAACCCTCAGATCATAATACAAGTTCATATAAAAATATATTTACAGATTAAATCACCTCAGAACATTTTACCCAAGTCTTGTCACACAGCCAGCAACAAACAGTGCATTTTTTGTACTTGTGATGCTGTACTGCTATTTTCTT